GCATTTATCATAAAATGATCATCAAAGAACATTCTGAGAACCAAGTGTGATACATTTTACACACAAAATTTGAGCATCAGCTTGGCTACCCAGGTTAACATCCCAGTTTACCACTTTCTAGTGGAGACCCTTGGACAGGTTATCTGAATTTTCCAAGACTCCTCAGTTCTCTTATCTGCAATGTGTGATGTAATAATATTTAAATCATAGGATTGTTGTGAAGATTGAAAAAGCTAATGCATTTGAGCATTCAGGCTGGCCCTTGAATAGGCTATTCATGACCATGTAAGGAAAGGGAGGCTAGTATTAATATTCCCTCTCATCTCCAGTTTACACATGCAGAAAGCACCTCAGAATAGTTAAATTATTTATTTCAGGAGCACGGTTAGGAAATAATGAGCCCAGGCTTAAAATATCAATGTGATGCTTTCTATATTTTATTATTTTTCTTTATATCAAACGTCTTCATTTAAGAACATAATTTGTTCTATATATGTTATCTAAGTCATAAATGACTTCGGTTAAATCTTTGGTTAAATCCAAGACCAAGAGGAATAAACTCATGTAAATGGGAAGATATCAAATGCAAGTAATTTTTTAAAATGTTCTATACACTCATGGATTATAAGAAAACTAAAAATAATCCAAGATAAAGCTCAATTTTGAATCCAATATACGTTCATCAGATATACTAAGAAAATTGGTTAAATTAATGACAGTATATCAAAACAATTCTATTTCATTTTCTTTCATATCTTATATGCAATTATTAATCTAAATTACAATTACAGAACTGAATACACTTGAAAAGTGATTACCACAGATAGGGCCATTTTAATATTTAATTATCAAACTTATAAAAGAAATGGCTACAGGCCAATTAAAGCAACCATTTTTTTCACAGTAGGAAAAACGAACCCTGAATGTCAGAACACTTACTGCAGCTTGCCGATGAGTATTTGACAATATTCCATGAATCTTCACTTTATCTTTTTCCATTTGGTCTATGTTCACCCACAAATCCCGGCTGGCAGAATCAGATGGGCCATATATTCGAGATATGTAGTAATTGTGGTCTGTATCCTCCTGCAATAACAGATAATAATATATATCAAGAACAGAGATGTTTTAACTACAATTCTTAAAAAAAAATCCTATTGAACTCAAGAGTATTAATAGTCTTTAAAAGAGCCAAATGAATTAACTAAACTCTGAGAGAAATGAATTTGGATTAAATAAATAAATGTGCACACCGACGCACACACATGAACTGTAAAAAAAAAAAAAGTTAAATAAATAGCCCTATGATTTGAATAATAAAATTTAGAATGTGAATTTTGTGTAGTTCATTTATTATCTAAGTGCTAATTAGATAAAATAAAATGGTTTCTGAAATCCAGTGAAACCATGAATCCAATGTATTTTTTTCACAAATCAATTGAGATATATATGTAATTGATTACAAAAAGGAAAAGAATATTCTATGCAGTATTCTAAGTAGATTTTGTCTTGTGACCTAAAAGAAAGACTACGATCCAAATATAAATGTGGAGAATAGTGATTAAATGTTTTATATATTTAACAATTTCAATATATATTTCCTTCTAAGTTTTGTATTTTACATGACTGTGTGTGTGTGTGTGTATGTGTAAAATTAGTAGTCTTCTTTAGAGGAAATTATTAAATATACAAGAGTTAGAAGGAAATATATACTGGGTGCAAAGATCTAATTTTTCACCAGAACAAAAAGGTCCTTTTGAACAAAAATGTCTCTTTCGAAATTTTTACTAAAAACCTATGGTATAATTACGATTAGTAATAACAAATTCAAACTTCTCTTCTTTAAAAATAAGGTTATATTAGGGCCTGCTTTCAGCTAATGGTCCTAGAAATGAAGACAATATATTTTTTCCTTTAATTTGAGTTACTACATTCTACTTTTATTTGAGTTCTCATTGTTGGTGTTACCATAGTGCCTGTCACAAAGTCTTTATTCATCATGTTTCCCACTCAGTGAAGAGATGTAAATGTTTTAAGAAGCAATTTTGATGAGAAATACCCAGAAAAATTACATGATTTTTGGCTAATTCTGATTGCAATGTTTTATAACCATGAAATCAATTTGAGGAGTTAGTAGACAAAAAATATTTTAAAGCCTTCAGGTAAGTATAAGAAAAAATGTTGAATAAATAGGTCTATGATTTGAATAATAAGGTTTGGGATGTGAATTTTGTCTAATTCATTTATCATCTAAGTTATAATTAAATATAATAAAATTATTCTTGAAATCCAGTCAAAACATGAATCTCATGTATTTTTTAGCAAATCATCAATCGAGATATATACGTAACTTATTACAAAAAGGAAAAGAATATTCTATGTAGTATTCTAAATAGATTTTGCCTCGTGCCTAAAAGAGAGACTATGATCCAAATGTAAATATTGAGAATAGTGATTAAAAGCTAACAGTAAGTTTTTTGTTTATGTAATAAAGACCCTAGCATAGTGGCTCATGCCTGTAATCCCAGCACTTTGGGAAGCCAAGGCGGGCGGATTACCTGAGGTCAGGAGTTTGAGACCAGCCAGGCCAACATGGCGAAATACCATCTCTACCAAAAATACAAAAATTAGCCGGATGTGGTGGCGGGTGCTTGTAATCCCAGCTACTTGGGAGACTGAAGTAGGAGAATTGCTTAATTCTGGAGGCAGAGGTTGCAGTGAGCCAAGATTGTACCACTGCATTCCAGCCTAGGAGACAGTGAGACTCCATTTTAAAAAAACAAAACAAAGGCCGGGCGCAGTGGCTCATGCCTGTAATCCCAGCACTTTGGGAGGCTGAGACGGGCGGATCACGAGGTCAGGAGATCGAGAC